TAAAGACGAATAAGCGTATGCCAAAATTTGACAATCCATATACGTTTGTTCTACATGTACATAAACAACTTAGAACCAGCTTTTATACTTGTACAACACATCACAAAGTGAGTTCTTTTACCCTTTTTGTTCTCAAAAAATTCAACCGCTTTCTCTTCGTCCTTCTTGTCCTTAATCTCCACGTTTTTGCGATAAAACCATAGTGAGCTTCCGATCTTGTTTCTCTTGTCTTTCTCGTATTTGGAGGCGCTGATGTAGGAGGGCATGTCGGAGGTGATCGTGTGCTCGTCCGACAATAAAACGAGGTCATATTGGTTGGTCTTCTTCCCTTCAAAGCAGCCCATTTAGTTTGCTAATAATTCTCAGTTGAGAGCATATCTAGAGCTCTCACCTATGTATTGAGTTGTGCATATAAATAGCGTCTAGCTGGTGTGTGTGTGTGTTTTGTTTTTGGGAGTGATGTATTAACGCTCTTTAATTACTAATTTAGTATAGTCAACATCTTAGCGTGTCTCCAACAACTTCATGAACAAGATTTTGAAGGGAATGCTAGTCGTTTGCTTAGATTATATAAATAGCGTCTGGATGGTGTGTGTGTGTTTTGTTTTTGAGAGTTTTAGGCCTCGTTCATTTCACCGATTCGAGTTTTTAATTTTAGGTTTCTGCAGTAAAAAGCTCTTAGAAAATATCACATTTAACTTTTTCTGCTACAGTGAAAAGCTCTCAGAAAATGTCACATCTCAACTTGAATTGAAAACTTGAATCCGCGAAGTGAACGAGGCCTTTATCAATCCATCCCAATAGCTTAAGCTGTTAAGAGGTGAGCCAACAATAGTTTTATACTTTAACACTCTCCCTCACGTGTGGGCTGGACAATGGACAATCGTGTGAGTAAATTAATTGAAAAGCCCAACACGTGAATATTTAAACCTTAGATATATTAAAGACCCAACACATGATAATAATTTAAATGGGGACAAAGAGTACAATTACGGGAGTTTAAAGTCATAACCCCCTACTCTGATACCATGTTAGTTTACTAATCAATCACAAAAGCTTAAACTGTTAAGACGTGGGCCAACAATAATTTTATCAGGAGTGATGTATTAACGCTCTTTAATTACTAATTTAGTATAGTCAACATCTTAGCGTGTCTCCAACAACTTCATGAACAAGATTTTGAAGGGAATGCTAGTCGTTTGCTTAGATTATATAAATAGCGTCTAGATGGTGTGTGTGTGTTTTGTTTCTGGGAGTTTTTAGTTTATCAATCAATCCTAATAGCTTAAGCTGTCAAGAGGTGGGCTAACAATAATTTTATACTTTAACACTCTCCCTCACGTGTGGGCTGGATAATGGACAATCATGTGGGTAAATTAATTAAAAAGCCCAACACGTGAATATTTAAACCCGAGATATATTAAAGACCCAACACATGATAATAATTTAAATGGGGATAAAGAGTGCAATTACGAGAGTTTGAAGTCATAACCTCATGCTCTGATACCATGTTAGTTTACCAATCAATCACAAAAGTTTAAACTGTTAAGACGTGGGTCAATAATAATTTTATTAGGAGTGATGTATTAACGCTCTTTAATTACTAATTTAGTATAGTCAACATCTTAGCGTGTCTCCAACAACTTCATGAACAAGATTTTGAAGGGAATGCTAGTCGTTTGCTTAGATTATATATATTATCTTGTTATTTACTAGTAATAAAATAAAGTATTTGTTGCTTATAATATACGTAGTCATGATAAAAATAAAATAAAATGGTATCTAGTTTCCAAGTTGATAAAGAAAGAATATAATTTTAGAAGCTAATTATGTATAATAGTCATTGCCGTCCTTGTATGAAAAACTTTTTTTTTTTTTTGGGTAAAGAAGGGTTTTGTCAAAATATTTTGTAATTTATAATGCAAGGGATCTAATATGTATACTCAATACCAAAATATAAATATACTTTCCCTGTTCCTTTTCTTCTTCTTTCTCCTTTTCATCTTAAAACTTCGGTACTCTTCCCATGAGAAAGGAAAATAGGATTGATATAGGACCGGCTAGAATTAAAGAACAAAAATAAAATTTAGAGAGAGAATAAAATCATTAAAGAGAAACGGAATCAAGATAGAGAAGAATAATTAAGAGAAAGATAGTAATCTAAGAAGAACAAGAATTTAAGAGGAGAAACTAATAATATCAATATCATTAATTATCAAACTCTGAATAAAAATAACAATCATTAATCTATTTATAGAGAATAAAATCCTAATCCTATTCGTCATCATTTTTCCCAGTTTGAAAAAAACTCAACTCTAACGAGTTGTAAACCGAAAAGAATCATGAAGCAATAATTTGAAAAGTAAGAAATTTCTCGATCTTGGATTCTGAAACGCCTACATGAAATATTTTCTTTTCTTTTGATTTGTTTGTTGTTTTAATATTTACATCATAAATAAATGTTTCCACCTATAATAGATTCATTAGTATATCACGCGGAACCTACTTTAAAAGTAAAAAGTGTTTTGAAAGAGTTAAAAATTTATTTTTTGTAAAGCTCGATTTATCATTTTTTGGAGTTATGTTGACACCAATTAATAATTAAAAAATGAACAGAGAAATCCTTCTAATTTTTTTATTGAAATAATTATTTGACTTTTTTTTGTCATAAGAGATATTTTGTTATTTCGATTTTACCATACTGTAATGTTCGTTTTAATTTAAATGAAAAATTATCTTTAATTACAAATATATAAAAACTAATGAGCACGTCATAATAAAAAATAGATGTTTCACAATTTAAATAGATAATAGATGGTTTGTCTGCAGCCCACGGTTTAGATGGTCCGTCCAACATAAGTGAAAATTATAACATGACATTTATTCAAGGTAACACTAATATTAAAAAATATAAGACGCTAAGATATTTATCTCCGACTCTTGCTATACTTCTCTAAAAGCGTCTCTAAGTGAATTAACAAATATTTAGCTAAATTTTTGTTCAACTAGTAATATTTAGGCGAGTCACTCCAATCAAACTGACCATAAAATATTTTAATATTTATTGAATTTCAAATATAAATAACATTACTAAATTTAAAAAATAACCCTTCTATTTATCAATGTTTAAAAGAATAAAATAATAGAAAACAATGACATGGCTAGCCTCTTCTTAACAGTTATATTTAACTAATTTGAAATGCATTTTTCAAAATAGCTAATCATTTAGTTAATGATTAGAGTGCAGAAAAGCTAAAAAAAAAAAGCATTTGTTATTTTGACTAAAAATATAAAATGACTTAAAATGGTTGGAGATGTTGTAACATCTTGAGTAATATTTTTGGTTTTTCCTATAAATTAAAGTGTAACAATAGTCTGATATATTAAATTGTTAGTTTTATGTCTTTTTAATATTCATGCTATATTAAATACTCATGTTATGGTAAATAATATATGTGTCACGTTAAATAAATAATATATTTACATTTTTATTTTTATCTGTTACGCTAAAAGGACGGTCCGTCAATGAGATTGTAGACAACAAGGCCTACAATTATATAGTTGTATATACAAAGTACTACCAGAAAATTAAACAGGAGAGAAATGTAAATATAATTGTCTAAATCAATTTAGCACATATAAAAATTACCTCATTCTTTTATTAAGTAAAAAAAAAAAAGGGATCAGTGATGCCCTCCTGGTTGCAGGTGGACCGATCCAATCTCTATCATTAATTTTGGGGATTCCTGGAGGACATTTGTTAAGAAAGCAAAGAAAATAAAAATTAAAAAAAAAAGACTCTAGTAAGTAGTAACATTTTGTTTGGGATAAGGATAAATTACACATTTTCCTTTTGAATTGTAGATATTGTCACAAAAGGCTTCTGAACTTTAATTTTAGTTTTTTTCTCCCAAATTTTAACAGTTTTTGTAAATTTTTCCCCTCAACTAAATTTTTGACGGAAAATGTTACGTGAAATGCAAAAACTAATAAAAAACTCCTAATTTTAAGATATTTAACAGAAATAACACGTATTACACAAATAATTAGTGTCGTTGATCCATTTTTAATGTACAATTAATCTATTAGCTCCACCTCATTTAAGCACATAAAAATACAATTACCCAGTAAGAGCTGTCAATATTTTACTACACCAATTTTTTCTTAATTTATTTGACCTAAGAAATTTTAGAGGATCATCAATGAGGACCAACAATAATAACAAGAGTAAGAATTTAACACAAGAAAAATTTACAAGAGTTATTAAAGTTTTAAAGAAAAAAATTAAAATTAAAGTTCATAAACATTTTGTGACAAGAATTACGTGGAATTTGTTTTTGAGATAACTTCGTGAAATTGAAAAAAAAAAAAAAGAGAATTTACCTTTTAAAAATGTATAAATTTAAACTTTTACGCCTTACACTTAATAAATATTATTTTGTTAATATAATTATTTAACTAAAAAAAAGTATGAATCAATAATAAAGAATAAAAACGTGACTCATACACTTTTAAAAAATAGGGAGAAAGAGAGAAATATGTCAAGACTTGAGATGAATTAAAATTAATAGGTCAATAGTTTACATAAGTTAATAAATATGCGAAATTACTGTTTTTGTCCATAACATGTCTGGTTATGAACCATAACTTGACAAGTTATTGTCCATAATTATCTATAACTTGTCTGACTATGAACCATAACTTGACAAGTTTGTCCATAACTTATTTGGTTATGAACCATAACTTGACAAATTATGACCTATTAATTTTTATAACTAAAAATTGACCTATATACTTTTTTAAATTTTTTATATTGACATATTTTCTACTATTTCACTAAAAAAATATTACTCATATAATTTTTAAAACTATTTATCAAGATTAAAAAAAATATATCGAGTTGAGCCCACCCAAAAAGCAGATGAAATAAGAAGTGGAGTGGGGTACCAAATAACCCAAAAACCGTGAAAAAAAAAAAAAAAAAAAAAGATCTCCCAAAATCCTTCTTTGGTTTTCGCAAACGGCTCCTCTGCTACCTCACCTTATCTTCCTCCTTGCAATGCCATGCTTTGCTTTCATCTGTGAGTTCCTCTCTCTCTCTCTCTCTCTCTCTCTCTCTCTCCGCATCCAAAATGAGTTTCTTTTCTATTCTTTTTCTCGAAATATTTTTAGGAAATTTTACTAGAAATGAAACCTCTCAACCCCGTTTTCGTTCTTAAATTAATTCTGGCTTTAGAAAATAAAAGTGAATGAATCAGAGAAGTTTACAAGTAAATAATCAAATTGCATTTTATGCGCCTAGTACATTTTACTTGATGCGGTTTTTTTCTTTTTTCTTTTTATTTTTCCCCCCTCATGAAAGGAAAATGTTCATCGTTCTTCCTAGCTTCAGTTTGAAAAAATTATGGGATTTAATAATTCAGTTGTAACTAGTTATGCAGGAATTCCCGTATATATACACACTCATATATATATATATATATATGTATATATATATATAGGTATATATATATATTTATTTATATATTTGGTCTTGAACAACAAGCATTGTTAACGATTTCGCAGTATCTGTCAAATTTCATCCCAGTTGGGGGAAAACTCCTTAGAATGCTTACTTAGGGAAATGCTCATATTGGGTACCTCATAATAGCCATATATTCATCATATCAAGAAAATCGTTAACTGTGTATTTCTGGCTCCAATTACAAGTTTGAGATTGGAGTTCATAACTTCATACTACTAGGTTCAGGTTCTCATTAGCTGGAAAAAGAGGCTTTTTAGGAAAGAAGAAAGAAAATGTTCATGTCCTGGTGAATTGGTGATGTTATTTGTTGTACAATAGAGCTTAGCTTGCGGTTAGACATGCCTCATTTGTGCATGGTATATGTTTGTTTAAATGTTTCTTTGAGTTTCATTTCATGAAGGGATGTGAACATTGAGAATTAGTATAAGTATAACATCGAGAATTATTTGAGGCCGTACTGTTTGCTGGATTGAACATCATTAGAAATACTTTCATGAATACGTTTAAGAAAGGTTGGGCATGTCTGGATGATATATTTTAAATATGTTGTGTATGATGCTATTCTACTACTTGTATGATGATTTTTATCCTAGTTAGTTGCATGTTTGAATTTGTATCAGGAGATTGTCGTTTTTGCATTTGCCTTCTGATCGTGGTCAAGAAAATCTCTTTCGGCTGCACTTTGGATATGTGGTGGAGTACAGACACTTTCCACCTATCAGAGTGCGGCAACATCATGATATCTCTGTGCCGAGGAACTGGTCTTCTCCTATGTCCCTTGTTAGTTCCTTCCCTAGACTTAACTCTGTAGGATCGCTGCAGAGCTGTGTTGATGTTGATGAGAAATCTGGAACAGACAAGTCCTGCCAACCAATAATCAACATAGATTCATGCACGAGGCAACTTTTGGTTGAGGACGTTCTAGCAGTTAATAGGAGTGACTCTCTCGAAGCTCGTTTGGATAAAGATCTTAAAGAAAAGCAAAGACGAGAAAAGATAGGACTTGCAAACAAAGGGAGAGTGCCATGGAACAAAGGCAAGAAGCACAGTGCAGGTGGTGGGATGTACTGTGTTAGTTTGTTATTGAAACTTGAAATTCTTTAACTGTTTAAACTAAACTGCGTTTCTTTTACTTGACGTGACACAGAGACCCGTGAGCGAATCAGGCAAAGAACACTAGAGGCCTTAAATAATCCCAAGGTGACGTCATGTAAGACACTAAGAATCAGTTAGTTGCAATGCTACCGGGCATTCACACACACACACACACACATGCATCCTTCTTTTTCATTAGATCTTAAGCATGGAAGAAACTTTTGCTTCACGATCGTTTCTTTCTTCTAAATGTTCTCTTGTGACCTCTCAATACTTTTCAGGTCAGACAGAAGATGGCTGAATGTCCCCGTTCTCATAGGTAAGTAACATCACAGTTTTTTATATCGCAGTCTAGGTGAAAATTTTGAAATTTGAAACTTGATTGTGTGTGAGCATTTAGCATACTGAAGGGGAAGGCTTTAGTTGCAAGCTGTTCTCCTGCAGCCAACTTTTCACAATCAGTAGATTTATTGTTCGTATCATAATAAAAGAATTTTCTTTGAAAAGATTCTTGTTTTGAGATTGAAGGGAATACTTTAGTAAAGACGACATTTTTTTACAAATTTTTTTTATTTTTAAAGTCTGAAAATCTAATTTCTTTGCAGTGATGTGGTCAAGCAAAAAATAGGTTCCGCACTTAGACGTCTTTGGGCGAAGCGTTTGAAGTTGAAACGGTCGAGGGAGACATTTTTCCAGTCATGGGCAGAAAGTATAGCAGTGGCAGCTAAAACAGGAGGACCTGAACAAGAAGTGCTAGATTGGGATAGCTATGATAAAATCAAACAGGAGTTGGTTCGGCAGTGGCTTCACTTCACTGCAGAAAAGACAAAGGCAAAGGAGTTGGCAAGGATAATGAGAGAGGAGAAAGCACAGATGAGGAGAGAGGAGAAAGCAGCAAATGCAATAGCAGAAAAGATGGAGATGCTTGTACGCAAGAGAAGATTGCGCGAGGAGAAGTTAAAAGAGAAGGAAGAGAAGGCAAAATCCAAAAGAAAACTATATCAAGACAAAAAGGATTCAACTAGAAGGTTGAAACTTAAACAGAGGTTAAGCCAGGTAATTTCCCACAGATACAGATATAGAGCTATTTTTATGGTCATCATTTTTGGGTCATACACAAATGAGATATCATCAAAGACAACTCAAGGTAGATCGGTCACGCAATGAGTGTAGGTGCCTAAGAATTGAATCATAAAAGACTGCGCATCAGCTTCATCTACAATGAGGCCTTGAAACATTATAGGAAAACAGATAATGCTTGAGAATCATACGTATTGAAACAAAAACAAAAATCAGGGCAATCGTCCTTGAGAATGGAGGAAAAAAAAAAAGGCCATCTTTACAATTTTTTTTTCTTATCAATTCATAAAAGCATTATAAGCATTTTCTTTTAACAGGGGTCCCTATCTAAACCAATGAAATGCTTACCGCTGTCCGCTTGACTGATGCTATATTTCATCATGTGCACAGATTCGCCAGAAGATTTCAATTGATGGTCAAGTCTCTAGGCAAAAGGGCACAGTTAACTCTCACATTCCAGCCTTGGAAAAATTGGATCTAGAGCTTATTAAGAGAGAGAGTTTGCAAAGAGAAATTTCTTTTGCAGATCAGATAAGAGCTGCCAAGAACAAAAAAGCAGAATTTGCCCCTACAAAAGCCCTGGCAGCCCCATCTTGTGTTCATCACTCTTTTAGTGGAAAACCATGATTTTGAAAGCTCAACCTTCCACATTCTTCATCAAAAACAGGCCTTACATGCGCCAGCAGGTGGAGTGGCTGCTCTTGACTTTCGATGATTGGCGTGTTTCTTTATTTCCCTTTTCATTTCCCGTGGTTTCTCTAGAGGAATTAGTAATTGCACTCTTATAACATACTTGAACCAGTCTTCTCATGTGTTTTTGTAGCTTTATCTCAATCATGAGAGATGGCACTTGATTCGATTGAGCTGTACAAGGCGTCGTAATGTCGGGTTCAGTCAGATAAACTTTAGTCCCTGTGGTGAAAGGAAATTTTGTCATGAGCTATCTCGTCTGAGTTGGGATTGGGAAGCTCCTTGCTTGCTTAAACCAAGTTCTTTCTCAATTTTTGTTGACCCCGATCACTGCATGTAATGAGTTTAAGGAGTTGTACAATAAATAAAGCATTTTAACATTGTTAAAAACGGATGATATGTGTTCCTGGGTCCGTTGGGGAACTATGTGTGTCATGCTTGTATGACTCTAAGAGTGATGGAGGGTGTGCGAATGCGAAGGTGTTAGCATAGCATTAGCCTATGAGTTTCTTTTTTTTTTTTTTTAATATTAAAAATGAACCAACGGTAAAATTTAAATGATATGTGTGTGTGTATTTAGTGTAGGCACCGATCAATGAATAAAATTGGCATTCGCCTATGAGTTTCTTTTTTTTTTTAATATTAAAAATGGAAAAGTAAACGAGAATGATTTTAAATAGTTTTTTTTTTTTTTTTTTTTTGGCATTGATACCCCTTCAATTTTACACGTTTGATAAATTCAGTCTCAACTTTTAGGACCCTTTCAGAAGATAAACTCAAATTATAATTTTTTATTTTGACGTTTAAAATTCAAAATTTTTGTGAGAGAAAAATATTGTAGCAGAATTAATTATTTGAGTTTGAGTATATGAAACAAACGGATCCAATCTTGGCAATTTTCTCGCTAAACTTTAATAGTTATTGTAATGTTAGTCAAATTAACAACGCAGTTAAAATTAGAGACGATTTTTTTCACATGAACATTTAATGAGGTTAATTCTGATCTTTTTGTATCGAATTGGTCCCACGTGAACATTATAAGTGATTTTTTTTTTTTTAAGTCAAGAACCTGGGAACTTGAGATTCTTCCGTAGAATTGAGGTTGCCAGATCGTGACATGGGATCTACATTTTGCAACAAAAATATTCTCAGGACCTCCTAAAGAAATTGGCGTGGTTGGCTGCAAAGTGTTTGAAAGCCAATTTATCGACCAGGAGAGAAGGAAAAGAGAAAAACCAATGGACATGGAAGAGTATCGGCAAACACGAAAATGAGATGTGACTTTATATGAGAGTTTTTAATTGTAACAGAAAAAGTTAGATATGACTTTTTGTGAGAATTTTTAACTGTAGCAAAATTAGAATTGAAAAACTTATTTGCTTATCCCATTCCAGACCATATATCAGCTTGTATTGCAAGTGTTATTAGCCAATTTATGTACACAAACCTTACATAGTGAAGCAATCTATCGGATTCTAAGATACATAAAAGGATTTCCCGGAAAAGGCTTGTTATTTCAAAAAAAAAAATACGGAGCTTAAATTGAACGTTTACATAGATGCAGATTGAACAAGGTCCAGTCTAGATCAATGATCAACTATAGGATATCATACTTTCATAGATGAGAATTCGGTCACTTGAAAATACAAAGAGCAACCGGTTACAGAATGCTCGAGTGTAAATGGAATTCCAAGATATAGTTCAAGGAATATGTAAGCTGCTGTGGGAAAAACAACTAATAGGATAATTCCATGTGAATTGAGAATAAAAGTAGGGATATTTACCTTTTTATACTTTGTAGTTTGGGTTTATTTAAAAAGTATACTTTTAATTTTTGATCTCATCAAATATATACTTTTAAATTATATTTAATACTAAAATTTATACATTTTCACAATCAATCCTCGATTTTAACCTTAAGAATACCTAAAATACTATTAAATAAAAACATAGAAAAAGGAAAAAAAAAACCTTTAAACTCACAATTTTGACCTCTAAAATATGTAAAATACCATTCAAATGTTTTTTTTATTATAACATTAGAAAGTTTGTGTTTTTCTTTTTTTTTTCCTTTTTCTTAATGATAGTTTAGTCATTTTAAAGGTCAAAATCAATTATTGACCGAGATAAGGCATAAATTTATATATTAAATCTAATTTGAAAGAATACATTTGATGATATCAAAAATCGAATGTATAGATTTTAAATAAACCTAAAACACATGGTATAAAATATAAATATCCCATAAAAGTATAAGGTCCTATGATGTTGTACTGGGACAATAAGGCAGCGATAAATAAGCTACTTGAATTTGAATACTAGGTCAAACAAAAAGGTATATGGCACGAACGGTATAAGAATAGGGAGGGGGCTTGCTCTAAACTTCAAAACAGATTTTTGCATTTCAGTGAACAAGGCAGTTATTCGACTATCATATAGATGTACCGCGGGTGGCTTCTCTCTTGGTTGTCGTGCACAATCCTATTCAACATGATCAAGTTAAGCATGTGGAGATTGATACAATTCATCAAGGAGAAGATCGAATCATGGTTGGTTTGTACTCCCTATATTCCTTCTCACTTTTAACTTGCAGATGTTCTCTCCAAAAGACTACTCAGTTCAATGTTTCAACTAATGTACGGGGGAGTGTTGAAAATTCTAGAGTCTTTTAATTGTTATTAGTTGTAATTACTTACCAACTCTATCTATACCTAGTTAGATAGTAGTGGGCAGATGGTAGATAAGAGTTGTACACATATTTGTATCCTTATATTGATCAAGATGCACAAAAATAAGGGATTCTTTCAACCTTTAGACAACAAAATCATCACAAGTAGTAGCAAAATACTTGGAAAAGATAACTCGGGCCCTTGATGAGATTTGATAGCATTCAAGGCATCAGACCACGCGTGCATCTTTTGCCATCTCAAAACTCTACAGCAAAATCCCAGATTTAGCTAATTCCATGTCCCAAGTCCAGACTCGATTGTTACAAGCAACAACCATGTTCTCACCTTTTAATCGTAGATAGCAACTTTGATTCCTACACGTAAACAATTCCGTTCAAAACTTACTACATACCACAGCATTTCATCCTATAAAGTAGCAGAAGAAAGGTTTTCCTCTGTCAAGCGTCCAAAACAGTGAAGAATAATCAGCTGTTTAAAATCTTAATGAATTTCACATTACCAAGAAGATTCATCTAACAAGATTAACTACATTTCTCAGGATAAATGATTACTCCAACGCTAGTACAAGGCCTCGCTCATTTCACAAATTCGAGTTTTCAGTTTTAAGTTTCTACCATCTCAGCTCGAATTGAAAACTCAAATCCGCAAAGCGAATAATACCTAAGTATCAAATAACAAAGTAGATGTAATAAAGAGCATGCCTAACAAAAAATAAAAGTAATAAAGACCAATATCCAGAGTTTACAGACCATTGGGAAAACTCACAAAGGGTATTAGAACATGATGTCGGCCATTTAAGGTACAATTAACAGTATCGCAACCTAATATGCCCAGCAAAATAAGATTTAATCCAACTCTTTTATCTTAGTACTAGTAATATAAAACAAAACAGGATGCCATTTTTGCTTATCTACACAGCTCACAACGCTCAAGGCATTTCCCAATTGGACTAGTAATTTCCTCCAGATGCGTCCCTGTCAGGTGTGTAGCTGTTCTGGTATTCATTGTTGGGAGCATTACCAGACCATCCTGCGTTATTCTGCTGCATTCCTCCCATGTTTGGCGGTGGCCCACCTCCCATGTTGTTGGGTGGTGCCCCTCCGTAGTTGCTAGGTGGTGCTCCTCCGTTGTTGGGTGGCGCCCCTCCGTAGTTGCTAGGTGGTGCTCCTCCGTTGTTGGGTGGTGCCCCTCCGAAGTTGCTAGGTGGTGCTCCTCCATAGTTGCTAGGTGGTGCTCCTCCGTAGTTGTTCGGTGCTCCTCCGTAGTTGTTCGGTGCTCCTCCGTAGTTGTTGGGTGCCCCTCCATAGTTGTTGGGTGGTCCGCCACTCCAGTTGTTGCTTGGTGGCGCCCCGCCATAGTTGTTTGGCAGATTCATGTTGTTGGGGGGGGGATATCCACCCATGTTGTTTTGGGGAATTCCACCCCTATTTGGTGGTGGACCAATGTTGCTGCCAGGGGGGCCTTGGGGATTTGGCCCAGCATTCTGCACTGGCGGGCGCCTCTGAAAATCTTGGTTCTGCATATTCTCCACACCCCTGTTTAGCGGTAGACCCGTGTTGCTGCCAGGGGGCCCTTGGGGATTTGGCCCAGCATTCTGCACTGGCGGACCCCTCTGAAAATCTTGGTTCTGCATATTCTCCCTTCTCCTCTCAAAGTTCCTTGATCTATCAAAATTACGAGGTCTATCATTGCGTCTGTTTCTCTCATTTGCTCTGGCATTGTTCCTTATCCATTCCTCATGGTACTTGGGATCATAAGGAACTGCCTTACCATCAATAAAAGGTTCCCCTGCCATATGGAAAGTAAAAGGCTTCATCCACAAAATAGTAGCCTCATTAAAATAAACCATTTAGTACATCACGGGATTGAACCCGCAACCCCCCACCCAAACCCCCCAATGCCACTAGACCGAGAGGTCTTAGGCCATTTAAAATAAACCTTTAAACCTTTTGAGGAGTACACTGTTACCATGATGGGAGGTAAACAACCCATATTCATAATTCTAAAGCTACATTTTGCTTTGAATTAAAAATGATGGCAATTTCTCTTCTGATAGCTATTTGAATGTGCAGCACAAAAGGAAGACGGCATAAGACAAGCAAATTATGCCTTTAGACCTTATTTATTCAAACCACAATAGACGATATTCTTCTCGTAATAGAACTTATAGAATTATCTCCCTATCATTCAGGTTGAACAAATAAATTGAACGTGAACTTACAGAAATTAATTAGTTCAAAGACAATATTTAAAATTTGCTATCAGAATCTAAAACTTACCCCCATAGTCTTTGTTCCTTACATCCAAGTATGAATCAGGAAGGACCCAGCGCACTCTAGGCAATTCTGAAAGAATTTGACAAAGAAACGATTAAGAATACAAATCCTGTAAAGCCAATAACAAAAAAAAGTCATGCACTTACCCAAAAACAAAAATTACCTTTAATTTTGTATGAAATTTCTTCAGATACTAATGCTCCAAAAGCATAATAACACCTAGTTGAAACAGAGTAAATCTTCATCCTTGCTTCTTCCTCACTGCAAATGAGATGCATAGGCAACATTAACAACTGATTACATAAATCATGGGAAATATTATCCATCACAAGTCAAAATATATACTTCAATAGTGAAACAAAAAACAATAGAGGTCTTCAAGCAATCATCAAATATAGTTTAACAAAAGCATTTCTTACAGAAGCAATAACATAAATATCTCCTAATTTGGGTTCAGAAATATCTAATAAACAAGAACAAACCCTAAAGATCAAAGAGAGAGAAAAATAACCCAAAATAATTCCAAATACCAAACCAAATCACTTCTATTGTCTTCATTTCTCAAATCAAAACCAGAAAGCAAAACAAACAGAAAAGGAATATTGAATCGAAGAAATAACGAGAGAAGAAAGAAGGATCACCTTCCGACGACTTGGGATAGGGTTTTGATGTAGCTATCAATGATGTCGTCCCTTGTAGGCTCACCCTCGGGCGGCTCCATGACGACGAGCCAGTGCTCGAAATCGCAGCCGTCGAGCAGAATCGTCTCCTTGGGAGGGCGATTGGACCAATTAGGGCTGGGATCCTTGAGAGAGGAGGAAGTGGCGTTGGTGGAGAAGCTTCGGAGGACCGAAGAAGGAGAGACGCCGCGGGCGGTGGCGATGGCGCCGGCGAGGGGACGAAGGCGATGGAGGAGAAAGAGGGAGGATGAGCGAGAGTGAGCGACGGAGGCGGTGGTGGAGAAGGAGCGAGAGAGGTAGGAAGCTAGGGTTAGGGTTCTGGGGAGGCGAGACAAGAAGGTCGCCATGGCTGAAAGATTGAGAGATAAACCAAAAACCCTACCGAAGGAGAGAGATTGGGAAATGAGGGTTTAAGGGTGAGGGGATCCCTTTTATATAATTGATTTCCTGAATTGCCCTTGCCTGACCAATAATGGTATTCTAAATAGGGTTCGTTTGACGTTTTTGTCCCTATAATTTGAGAGAAAGAAATAAATAATAGATTTACGGTGTATAATTAAGGTAAATAACATATTTTTAAAATTATTTAGAGTAAATCATAGTAATTTAAAAATTATGTGATAAAAATATTTTTATCAATAATAAATAAAAAACTTATGTGGTAAAAAAAAAATTTTACTAGTCATAAATAAAAAAATTATACAGTAAAAAATATTGTTACTGTATTTATTTTAAATAGTTTAAAATATGTTATTTACTTAATTTAGTTTCGTAAAAAATGATATTCACTAGAATTTCTACTAAAAATATTTTGATTGAATTTGCAAGTTGTCTAGAGCTTCTTTTTTTCGATTTAGAAATGAATGTTCGGGCTAATCTATGCATGTCTCGATTAAGCCTACGTGATTTGTGTATTATACTTAGAGATTGAAATCTTATCTGCGGGTACCCGCCCTTAATAAGAAGGGTATGAAGATACTAGAAGAGGTAAGGTTTGAATATGGGGATTAGAACTAACTCTTGAGTTGGGGATGGGGCAGGGTTAGGGGAAGCTCCCATGTCTCCGCCCCTAACCCGATTATATGTACTTTTATTATATATATATATATATAAATATTGTACTTTAAAAAATCCTAAAATTTGTGTATAATAATTATAAAGAAAACGGAAACTATCAAAAAGAAAAAGGGAAATTACCTTTCAATTATAAATAACAAATTTTAATAATGTTCTTAGTACTATTTTAATGTTTTGGTTTGTTTACAAACTTAGTTTATGGATTGTTGTAGTTTAATTTGTTTTCATTTTTTTTTAAGACATTAATGAGTATGTTGCTAAATTTTATAATTAATTTAATGAAGTTTACTTTGAGTTTTATAATGTTACGAGAATTTTTTAATTTTTCTTTCATAATAGGTAAATAGGTAGCTTACACCTTCAATACAGATTCTCCGACTCCCGACTCTGCCTAAAATTAGACGGGTATGTAGGCGAGTATGGAAAACAAAATAAGAGTAAATTATGAAGGTGGATGAAGCATACTCGTTCCGGCCCAACCTTTTGATAGAAGGCGCACTAATACATGTGACATGTTGTCTTTTGATAGAATGTTATCTAAAATTTCAGTCTTTCTTATAAACCAGCTCAAAGAACGTATATGAAAACATTTACCTCCAAATTGCAAATAGCCTTCATCTATTCAAGAACACACTATGCAATGCTTTTATTAAATTTATAAAATAATATTAGAAGTTATAAATTAGCTTAGCAATAGTGAAAAGTTTATAGGGACGAAAATATTCCACATGGAGATGACTCCCGTCCTCAGACACTTATTGAAAATGAGAATGAGGATAAGAATAAAATCTAATCTTTAGTCTTGATGGGACAGAAACGGAGGAAGCTCTACCCGCTCCACATTTTTTCCGATATACATACGTTATATATTTTTTAGATAAATATATACATATATAATTTTTTTAAAAATTACTTTTTACTTAAAAAGGAAAAAAAGTAACTGTGTTGTTCTTTATGGCTCTACTATTACAATTTAGTTTGCATATGTTTAGAATTTAGTTTGTATTATAGAACCTTTAATTTTGGTCTAAATTTATAATAAATTTTTATTTAAATTTCAATAATTTTTAGATGCATAGTTCTATTGATGAGGAATAGTGCGTGTATAGAGATGGTTCACAATGCGAAATTCCTGACCCTAACCCCATCTTTCCTTAATCAAAATCATTGTTGAAATTTTTTGATATTTCTCAATATTTGTGTAGAGGTCGATTTCTAACAGTATAATTTGTATTAGGGGTTAATGACCAATTCACGGAGTAATAGATGTTTGATCTGTTTACCTAAGATTGATCTAATGGATGAATGATAAAATACAATGTGGAAAATATAGAGAGACACCGGAATTTATAGTGTTTCACTCCAAATAATAGGGTTACATCCACTGTAGTGTTTGTTGTTTGCACTATATATGTAGAAAATAGGACAAAGAAGCTTGAGAAATTTGAGAGAGACAATAATGGAGGAAAGAGAGAGAGGGAGCGGCTTTAGGGTGTATTGAAGAGGTAATGCACGAGCTATTGGGTTTTGAGATGCTCTGGACGTTGAGGGAAGTTCTCTTTTTATAGCTGCAAACTCTTATTTCTCAAGTAAGGCTAGTTTACCTTTCTTGAATAGAGTTAACTTTCCGGATTGTGTATTATTCAACTTTCTTTGTAGACTTCGTATCTTCTGAGATTTAGTCCACCTTTGGTGCGATTTGATAGCTTCCCAAAATCCCGAAACGGAAGGTTCTTCAGAAGTTCTCAAAATATTTTTCAGAGCAGTCAACTCCTCTGCTCTACCGAGCGGTCGCAGTGGACTCAGATGCTGAAGTCGTTTTGAGTTGATATTGAATCTGGATCGTCTTCTAATCTTCTTGAGCTGCTGAATCCTTCTGAGAGGTTCTCTTGGATGATGATCTTCAAGTCTAGTCAACTCGAGTTAACACGTGTACGGTTGCGATTGAGTGACGAAATCTAACACCAACAATTTGTTTATATATCCATGCAAAAATCTTTAAATATAAATTATTAATATTTTTTATTAATATTCAATTTTTATCCTTGTTCTCCTTCATATGGTGACACTAATTTGAATTTTGCATGACATACTATAATTTTTTGCTCTTCAGGAATTATCTAACTAGTATTAGCTGCATAAAAAATATAATTTAGGGTTTAACCTAAATCTACATTAGGTGATTAACCACCACTTAAGATTCCTTTTCTTTTCACCGTACATTAAAATCCATATTAACACAAAATAAATACATCAATAATCAACAATTTATAGGCGATTAAATAGTACTAGAGCATTGTTCCAATTTAACTTCACAATCATGTTTTCTATTTTAATGGACAATAATGCTGTAAATTATAGAAGCGTTTGCAGGTTATTGTTTTCTTTTGATGCAAGGTGGAAAGATGCAGTCAGCCAGTTACAGAAAGGAAAACAAAAAAAAAAAAAAAAAAACCAAAAAAAAAACAAAAAAACAAAACAAAACAAAAAAACAAAACAAACAAATAAACAAAACAAATAAACAAAAAACAAAAAACAATCACAATAAAATAAAATATAAATTAGAAAGAAATTAGAGTCAGACCATGTAACCACTTTTTGGCAACTGAACCACTATTTTTTTAATTCAAATCTTAGCATGAACAAAGCTGATCCCATAACAAATTTGCCTATTCTTTGTAGATAAATCCCATTCCAAGCAATCACACAAGTTTTTTTTTTCCCCCCTTCCCTCTTTAGGAAACAAATCAGAAACTAGCATAAGTAATTAATCACAATTAGCAGCTTTCAAGTAAATAATAAGAATTAATTAACAGCTGTTCTTCTTAAAAGTCAGAGATAATTTTTTCTTACCAAACTGTTCGAGTTGTGTGAGATATAGTTTAGGCAACCAACACCAACCTTCCGCAGTCAATATTTAGCTCAACTGAAAAGCTTCCCAAGCAGACTCAATCCCACTCTTGCACTCTTTCTTTCTCTCTTTTGTATTTCTTGAGACTCTTTTTTAAGTGTTACAATTTTCAAACCCCATTAAAAATCCCATTCCTAGCAAGAAAAAAGAAATGGAAAAGGAGAACCCAAATGAAGAATATTATCTCAAACGGACTATAAGCCCATGAATTCCAAACATCAAAACTAGCTTGCTTTATCTCGTCTTAGCTTGTGTTTGACACTAAAAACTTAGTTTGGTATGTTGGTTCATCTTCTTTCTTTCTTCAACATAATCCCACTTGACACCACATTCCTCCTCTCAGTCTCTTTCACTCTCCCCAATGGAGTTACCAACAAAACAGCCGGTTTCTGGTAGCCGGAAAATCTCATACTCGATAGAAACGAGGAACCTGTCATACAGATTGAGGACCCAATTTGATGAGGTGAATTGGGCATGCTTTGGTTGGAGCAAAAAGACAAATCAAAATTTCATTTTGAAGAATGTAAATTGTGAAGCAAAGGGGAGAGAAGTAACTGCAATTGCAGGGCCTAGTGGAGCTGGCAAAACCACACTGCTCGAGATTCTTGCAGGGAAGATTTCTCCAAGTGAAGTTTCTGGCCAAGTTCTGGTTAATGATAGGCCTATGGATACTAGATGTTTTCGGAGAATATCCGCTTATGTCACTCAATTTGATGCCTTGTTTCCTTTACTTACAGTTGAAGAAACACTCATGTATAGTGCCCTCCTAAGGCGGTCCGGGGGCCAGAAAGAGGCTGCTGCTAGAGTGAGACAGCTGCTGAAGGAGTTGGGGTTGGATCACGTTGCGGATTCAAGAGTTGGAGGAGGATCGAGCAGTGTTGTTTCGGGTGGTGAAAGGCGGAGAGTTTCGATTGGAGTTGATTTAGTCCATGACCCTGATGTGATTTTGATCGACGAACCGACTTCAGGGCTGGATTCTGCTTCAGCACTCCATGTAGTCTCTTTGCTCAAGACGATGGCAGTTAGTCAAGGCAAGACGGTTGTTCTAACCATCCACCAACCCAGTTTTCGAATCCTCGAGCAGTTTGATCGAATCGTTCTGCTTTCAAATGGAAATGTGGCGCATAATGGACCGCTGAATCTTCTTGAAGAGAGGCTTACGTTTGCCTGGAACCATAGAATTCCCATGCATGTCAATGCGCTCGAATTCGCCATTGATGTTGTTGAAAGCTTGGTTGTACAAACTTCAGAAACTTTTGGCAGGCAATATAATTTCCTCGAGACAATAGACAAAGAACAACAAAATAGGGATCGAGATCCCAAAATCAGGCTTGCGTTATCTGGAAGTTGTACAGAAGAAAAGTTTGTTTTCTACACAAATACTAGGCTCAAGGAAGTTGTAATACTAGGGAAAAGATTTTGCAGCAACATATTAAGAACCAAGCAGCTGTTTACGACAAGAATTGTCCAAGCACTAGTGGCTGGATTAGTACTTGGAACCATATTCCTTGATGTTGGCAATGACCAAGGAAAAGTTGCTTTACAAACGCAAACCGGGTTTTTCGCATTCAGCCTCACTTTCTTGCTATCTTCCACAACAGAAGGCCTTCCAATCTTCCTGCAAGAGAGAAAAATTCTAATGAACGAGACGGAAAGAGGCGCTTACAGAGTTTCCTCCTATGTCATGGCAAACACCCTCGTGTTTCTTCCATTTCTTCTGATGGTTAGTATTCTGTATGCCACGCCGATTTATTGGCTTGTCGGATTAAGGAGAGAAATCGACGGTTTTCTTTACTTCTCTCTAGTGGTTTGGATGGTTCTCTTGATTTCCAATTCATTTGTGGCATGTTTCAGTGCCCTAGTGCCCAACTTCATCATGGGGACATCAGTCATTGCAGGGCTAATGGGATCTTTCTTTCTCTTTTCGGGCTATTTCATATCGAAGGAAAACTTGCCTAATTACTGGCTTTTCATGCACTACTTGAGCCTTTTCAAGTACCCTTTTGAGTGTTTCTTGGTAAATGAGTATGGTGTAAAGCAAGGGAAGAAAAAGTGCTTAGAAACTGAGCAAGGAAGAGGGTGCATTCTATATGGAGATGGGTTCTTGAGACAGCAGGGTTTGAAGGAGTCTTTGAAATGGAGCAATTTGGGTGTGATGTTGGGTTTCATTGTTGGGTATAGAGTGCTTTGTTTTTTGATTCTGTGGTACAGATGTTACAGAAGCAGAAAGTAGATGGCTAGAAGTTCTACATTTTTTTTCCCCATTTATTCTTATATTTGTCTTAGTGGATACATATTTGTTTCTGTTGTATCATTCGTTTGCTCAGTTATATTAATGATGATTAAACAAATGTACCAGTAATAACCATCATTAATAATACTCAATATATATATATATATATATTTTTTTTTTTTTTTTTGAAAGGCAATATATTTCTCATTTCAATAGCAATATTATTATCATAGGAGTACCAAAAAAAAAAAGAGAAAAAAAAACTGACATTAACATAGAGCTAGTGGACTTCTGAGTAGCTCAAACTTGGCTCCAAGTCACTAATGACATCTTTTTAGGCACTACAAATGATAGGCATATACACTATAGTAGATGGAAACATAACTCTTACCTCGCGATTTCTAGCAATAAGAAACTAGTAAATGCAGCATCAAAACTTTCTACAATAGCCTCTGCCTCTGCAGGGAAAACAAGCATGTTCCTGCGCTCGAAAGACCTCTAATTTTGGTAGATTCATAAAGGATATTGCTCGATTCGTTTTTCGATTGCTACAACATATATCACAAGTAGTTTGTAGAATAATCTGAGAAGCTTAAAGGAATTCTGTCCTTTTGTAACAAAACAGAGGAATGAAATCTAGTCAATTGTGAAAAAAAAATTTACACTCAATATAGCCAGAAATTAGGCAAGTACAAAAGATTTGTTTGACTCACATTTTAGTTTTTTTTTTTTTATACAAATTCTGGAGCAAAATTTCATTGAATTTTGGTTAAAGAAAAAAAAAAAAAAAAAAACACTCTACTTTTAAAACGTTACCAAACAAGGAGGCTTTACTTAACTAATTACTCCGGTCATATATAGAATTGAAGGTCATGGTAGCAATTGAAGTGTCCATGCCTGATGAAGATGTTTTCCCCGAGTCTACAAATACTGCGTCAGACGAATATTTTGTGTTGACCTTATCTTTTTCATCTCCTCCACCTTTCAGACCCATGAACTCAGAAAGCAATCCTGGTTTCGATACCGTCATGTCATTCACATCTTTGTCCCCACTTAGCATCTCAACAACAGTAGACATGGTTGGCCTGATCTTCGGCATGTCTTGAGTGCAGAGTAGAGCAATCTTTATAAATTTACAAGCCTCGTCAAGATTGAGATCATCGTTTAATGACGAGTCTACCAACTCGGCAAGCCCCCCTCTCTCATATAGATACCATGCCTGCAATTGAAGATTCTATAAGTTCTACAAAAATTCCATCATGTCATGCCCTTAGAAGCATGAAAAATAGAACAGTAACCCCATACCCTAGACAAATACATAGCCGAAAAATATGGATAAAAAACAAAACTTTTTTTTTTTCCTTTTCCCAAAAGATTGTTGCTGCAGTTAGTAAATCAAGAGTGCTCGTTCACAAGCCAATTCAACAATTTTAGCTGTTATCTTCTGCAATATACTTATGGTCATGAGTACCACCAGGAGGTGTTTGTTTGAGTACTAATACTATTTAAATATAGATAATCGACTTATGCAGGAAATTTTAGTTAAACCTTTTTTTTTTTAAATAAATTTTAGTAACCTGAACAGAGGAAAAAGGTGCTGAATTAGACACGGTTGGCATATAAACTCAGTGACAAAAATGTTATGAAAAATAAATAGATGGTGTGGGAGAATGGGAACTGATAGCAATAAGAAGGATTTTCAACCACTCATAATCATCATAATAAAGAGGAATAACAGAATAATATCGTCCAAAATGTGGTGAGAAGCCATCTAAAGTTACCAATGTAGAAGTCTTCCGGATAAAAACCGACCTTATGTATAGATGACGAGATACATTTTCGTTGTAACGTATAGAACAAGTGAAAGCCAGTTAATGTCAACTCAGAAATGGAAACAAAAACATTTCCACAACAGCATATCTGACAAAATATTTCCACGATAACATATGTGACATTAAAAAGATTCATACCCGTTCAAGGAGATACTGGTCTTTTTCTGGTAACCGCCTGTTTGTATTGCTCCTCCCACTAACAATCTCTAATAGCAACACACCAAAACTGTATATATCCGCTTTCCTCGTCACCTGACCTCGTATGGCGTATTCAGGTGCCAGGTAACCTCTACATGAACCAAACAACAGTGCAAATATGACACAATTAAATCGCCAAGTAATTGTAGTGAGAATAAAAGCTGAAATCCATAGCATAATACTTTGCATGAAGCACTTAGATTACCAAGTGTGATTTTCTGTAACTGCATCTTCCAAAGAAACCTAAATTTTAACCATTTATTTCGAAAATTAAACAGAAATTACAAAATTGATAGCAGGTGAAAAGCGACTTATACAATTATTTTCAAGCTGTGTTTTCAAAATCTGTATGGAAGTAGAAACTGAAGGGTGCGTTTAGAATTGGTTCCAAAATGTTTTTGTTTTCTATATGAAAATAGAAATGAAAACGTTTTCATTTTCATTTTGAAATTATTTCTGAAATGCGTTTGGTAGTTTTATTCAGAGATTGATTTCAGTTTTAAAAAAAACTGAAACTGCGTTAGGTGGTTTAATTTTTGAAAACATGTAATAATATTTAAAATAATAATATATTAAATAAATAA